GCTACATGGAAGAAGTAACCCAACCATATCGCATGAGATTCATTGCACTGGAAGATTTTATGTTAATACGTTATGCATTCATCAGGGAGAGCAAATACGCGCTGCACTCTTTTTCCCTTAACCATGGTTTTGTCCCACATTGGGTTTTCCTGGTAAGGTTTTTAACGAGGCAGCATCCCAAGCGTATTACGAAGAATTTTGTACTCTTTTTCCTTCATTAGGTTTTTATCCCACATGATTTTTCCTAATAAGGTTTTAACGAGGCACATTCTTAGATAATGGACATCCGAGGGGGAGTGTTATGAAATATATATTTGTGGATGTCCATTATACGCTTGTATCATTCCAGAACTTTCTAGATTTTAGGGTTTATTATTCTCCAAGCAAATCCTATCAATTGTATTGTATCTATATATATCTATACCTCCACTATATGAAATACTAGTAGAACACACAGATTAATTCTCTCTATATCTCTTATATTTTCACCTTATTTTATAACATATAATCAATAATACAACAAAATAATACAACAATTAAATTATATAGCATGACATATTTAACAATATATACAATAATAGATCATATGAATAACAGATTTTATAAACTTACACATAATAATACAAATTATAACACAATTTACTCCAACAAAAAAGTTCGTGTGATTACATATAATAATTAATATGATCAAACAATTCCAAAGGGCCAAACGTGATTACCTTTCAACGAATATTAAAACAATGAGATAGTACACAGTTGATAACCGCACACAAATTGTGCAATTGTGCAGAGAAGGAATGATGAGAAAATTAATTAAATCACTCGAAACTCACGGCCAACTAACTGATAAGGGAAAAGGTAATGGTGTGCTCTTGTGAAATTGTATCAAGAATGAATAATAAAAGGGTTGATGATAATATAGTGATCTCATAATTGAAGAATAATATGAGGTCAACAAACAGATTAAAGGGAATGATAATTATTGCTTTTAGGGAAACAAAGAAGTGGAATCAGATGAAAAAAATCATCTTGATGCCAAGCACACTTTGTTTGCCGTACGAGAGTCCTCATAAGGTTGGCAGCAAGATGATTTTTCATCTGATTCCACTTCTTTGTTTCCCTAAAAGCAATAACTAGCATTCCCTTTAATCTGTTTGTTGACCTTATATTATTCTTCCATAATGAGATCATTATATTATCATCAACCCTTTTATTATTCATTCTTGATACAATTTCACAAGAGCACACCATTACCTTTTCGCTTATCAGTTAGTTAGCCGTGAGTTTTGAGTGATTTAATTAATTTTCTCATCATTCCTTCACTGCACAATTGCACAATTTGCGTGCGGTTATCAACTGTGTACTATCTCATTGTTTTAATAATTGTTGAAAGGTAATCACGCTTCGCCCTTTGGAATTGTTTGATCATATTAATTATTATATGTGATCACACGAACTTTTTTGTTGGAGTAAATTGTGTTATAATTTGTATTATTATGTGTAAGTTTATAAAATCTGTTATTCATATGATCCATTATTGTATATATTGTTAAATATGTCGTGATATATGATTTAATTGTTGTATTATTGATTATATTAATTGTGCTAATTTTAAGGTTTTTAATGTTGTTTATATAGGGAGTATTGTTTTATCGAGGTTTTAGGGTTGCTAATGCAGAGTATTGTTTTTGGGTTTTGAGTTAATTATATGTGGGAACTAGTATTATTTTCCTAAGAGTTGAGAAGTTTTTGAACCAAATTGTTATGTTCTTTGGGAACCTATGCATTATTGAGATATTGTAAATTAATTTGTGAATGGTTATTTGATCGATGTATGAGATCAAAACGTTGAGAATTATTGTTTTGTTCTTGGTCTGAGGCTCGACGTGATATACCTTAGTCCTTGGCATGTTGGTAAGAGGATGATAATCATGAGTTAAGAATGAGGTACAATCTTTATTATTTATTTTTCTATGGTCCCCTACAGTGGAAATTGGCCCGTATGTGGTCTGGTTCAAGGTGTTTGCTGGTTATTGGGAGTATTCAAGTTTTTATACTTGTTGGTTTTATTCGAATTACCCATGTCCAAGGTTAGGTATAGAACAACGAACATGACACACTTATGGGTTTTATGAATTGATTGGGTAAAGGTTCGTATTATTATTCGAGGTTGAGTTGATAAAGGTTATTTTTCAGAGTACAATGTGTAATTTAGTTTCGAACTACATTGTTTAATTGAACTAGTATTGTAAATTATTCAATTATACTCTATATTCTGATATGTGGTGAATACTCAGCTTTTGCTGACGTATGTGTTATTTTGTTTTGCTACTTGTGTTTGCGGCCATGTCTTTTTCTTATGGCGGCCATGTGTTATTTTGTTTTGCTACCTATGTGTTTGCGACAATCTATTTTAGAATTTGTCCTTAATGGTGAGCAGTCAAGTTTGTCTAAACAGGTTGATCAAGTGGTTGTAGCTAAAAGAGCTCAAGTGTATCGATTAGTTTGCTATAACAAGTTTGTAAAGTTGTATAAATAGCTCAACTAGTTTATTAGGTTATAATTATTAGGATTTTGTAAGCCTTAACACTTGACAGGTTGTCAAGTGTGGTGGTAATACCTCTGATTTAAGTGTATGCTTCCGCTATTTTATTCAAAGGTTGTTTATTTTTCCTTTAATTCTCATTTATTATTGGTTAGTAAATCGGGGGTGTTACAGGCTCGGTATTGGAAGAACTTGGCGCCAGCGAACAGATGTTGTCGCCTGGCGACAGAGTCATATCCTTGGTGATAGACTCTGTTTTCTGGATGCCAGTTCCTACATGCCTCAGCATCTTTCTGTGCTCAATAAAATTTTCCAGTTTTGCGCAGCATTATTTCGATCCTAGTTGTGAAAAATATTCCTCAAATTTTCTACGTGTAAAAATCCTATGTTTTAACTCGTTATTGATGGTCTTTCCAATGAGATCTTTTTTATGCATATGACAATAATGTTAATCAAAATTACGCACATGAAATACTTAGAACTTTTCGACTCTCATCCACTCATTCTAAATAATTGCCAAAATAAATTTTAGGAATTAAAATAGAAATCCTCCCCAGTGGAGTCGCCAAAAAATGTAGGGAATATTTCAAGAATTACCCCAAACTTTAACCCCACTGTGATCATACACTAAAGTACGGTGGCGTCCAAAGGGAAAGAAGCTAAAGCAAAAGAGTCGCCAACAAGTTTTAAGAACTTGTAAACCGTTCACAGGGTGAAGGTTACACCCCTTAACAATCTAGGAGATCGTTAACTCCAATAGATCTGGAACCATGACTGGTAGTTCGGGGATGAAGTTACAAATCAACCCTAAAAGAGATTGAACCTGCCCTAATAATAGGCCTTTACTTTATCCTGATCGTATTCATTTGCGCTTCTGACTAACATGCAATCAATAGGTTTAACCCTAAACCAGATTATCTATGTTGGTTTAATATTAATGCACAAATAAAACTATTATTGGCGATCACTTGAATTATAATCAAATTAACCCTAAACAAGATTATTAATTATCTTATTAAGCGTGATTACAAGTACCAAATTCCCTTTAAACATGCATAAAAGGCGTGATCAAGCAATAACAATATATTTAAATAATAATAATTATAAATATAATAATAATAGCAAGATCCTAGGCATGATACTAACAAAATTAATAACAAACCCTAGCATGTCACTAAATATAAAAAATCAAAGCTTTAGCCCTAACATGATACTAACATGAATATTAGGAAAGACAATAAAAGGCCTCATAGAAATCATAATTGATCTAAGGAACTTATTCTTCACCGTAAACATGATACTAGGAAGATCAAAACACCCTAGACATAATTTTTATATCATAATAACAATGCAAACAATTAAAGCACTTACTTGGATGCCTCGTATCTCTTTCTAATAACAAAATATACACGTTAGTAACTTCAAGGAAATTATAAATCAAAGAATTAAATTAAATAATTGAAAGAGGGATTTGGGACCAAACCCTCAGAAATATCAAACCTTTCACGTCTAGGGCAAAGGCAACCTTGAACAATGCTAGGTGTGTCTAGATCTTGTGAATGCAGAATTTTGTATGAGAAAAGCTAGTTTAGAAAAGAGATTTGCTGATTGAAAACGGAGGTTTTAGGAGGCTACTTATAGAGAAAATCAGCCGGATATGATAAAAAACGAATCAGAGTTTTGAAAAGAATAAAATAGGACTGTAGCGTCAAACACGCGCCTGTCGCCAGACGACAGATCTGTCGCTAGACGCCAGGTCTATCGCCAGGCGACAGGTCTGTCGTATGGCGCTAGAAATAATTTTCCACGCGTTTCCTTATTTTGATAAAATTTAAACGTACGAGAGGGCAAAACTGTATTTTCCTTAAAAACACTTCTTTTATTTCAATTAAAACTCCTAAAAGTCAATTTATCAATGCTAATTAAATTAGGAATGAAAAGAACCTTCTAGAAGATTCTAGAAGATTATAATCAATCCTAATCACATTATGAATGATAAATCATAATAGGCCCTCCTCTAGATCATTAGGCCGCATATAAATATCAAACCGGGCCCAATTTAGTAATTTAGCCAAACTTCCTCATTATTCATCGGAATTGGGCTTATAATATATCGTTGGAAACCTCTTTTCGAACTCGAACCAACTACACTATTATTTGACCCTTTCCATGGAACAAACCAACTAGATTAGCTGTTTTCTTAAAATAGGTTTTCAAAAACAGAGAGAAAGAATAGAAATAAAAACTAACCGCAACACTAGACTTCCCACACTTTCACTTCATTCGATTATGATTCGACGTGAAAGTTACTCATCACTAGGTTTTGTTTTGGGGGGACACAAATGGGTGTCTACACTATGGTTCTTCATTTGATAATTGTTTATCTAACCTCATTAAAGTTTTGAAAAGATGTGAAGAATGCAATTTGGTTTTAAACTGGGAAAAGTGTCACTTTATGGTGACACGAGGTGTAGTATTGGGTCATATTGTTTATGACCAAGGTATAGAGGTAGACAAAGCAAAGGTAGAAGTTATTGAGCAATTACCCCTACCTTTTAATGTTAAAGGGGTAAGGAGTTTCCTTGATCACGCGGGGTTTTACCGCCGTTTTATCAAGGACTTTTCTAAAATTGCAAAACCACTAACCCAACTTATACTTAAAGATGCTCCTTTTGATTTTACTAATGAGTGTCTCGAGTCTTTTAACAGGATTACGAAAGCCTTGATTTCGGCTCCTATCATATGTGCTCCGGATTGGAATCTTCCATTCAAAATCATGTGTGATGCCAGTGACTATGCTTTGGGCGCCGTGCTTGGCCAAATAAAGAAAAAAAAAAGATTTCATGCCATTTACTATGCTATTAAAACTTTGATGATACTCAAGTCAACTATGCTACTACAGAGAAGGAGTTTCTAGCTATAACTTTTGCCTTGGAGAAATTTAGATCATACTTGGTTGGTTCTAAAATTATTATTTTTACTGATCATGCAACATTAAATTATCTCATTGCTAAGTCAGAGACCAAACCTAGACTTCTTCGTTGGGTACTCACACTCCAAGACTTTGATATTAAAATCAGAGACAAGAAGGGAAGAGAATGTGGTTGTAGATCACTTGTCTATAATCAGGTATATGAAGGTAAGGATTCTACACCTATTGATGATTCTCCTCCTGACAATAATCTACTTGCAGTTGTATCACAAGGACCTTGGTATGCCGATTAAGCCAATTATTTGGTAGGCAGTATACTACCTCCGGATATGTCCTATCAACAAAAGAAAAGGTTTATCCATGATGTTAAATATTATTTTTGGGATGATATTTTTTGTTTTGTGACTGTGCAGATGGACTATTTCTCAAGTGTGTCCCCGAATGGGAAGTGAACTGCATCTTACAACGTTGCCATAACTCTCCATATGGTGGGCATCATGGCCCTTCTAGAACCATAGCCAAGCTTAACGAATGAGGCTTCTTTTGGACTACTGTGTTCAAGGATGCGCGGTTATTCATCATGTCTTGTGATTTTTGTCAGAGGACTGGCAATATTTCGAGGAGGCACGGAATGCCTCAAACTGGGATCCTTGAAGCTGAGATATTTGATGTTTTAGGTATTGACTACATGGGCTGTTTCCATCTTCCAATTAGAATTGTTACATACTCGTGGCCGTAGATTATGTGTCCAAGTGACCGAGGCCATAGCTTCACCAACAAATGATGCCAAGGTGGTCATGAAGCTCTTCAAGAAGACCATATTTCCAAGGTTTGGTGTCCCACGAGCTATCATAAGTGATGGAGGTACTCACTTCCATGAAAGACAATTGGACAACCTCGTAAAGAAATATGGAGTGTATCATAGAACCGGACTTAGTTATCACCCTCAAACTAGTGGTCAAGTTGAGGTCTCTAATAGCGAAATCAAGGCTATTCTAGAGAAGGTAGTGGCTAAGTCAAGGAAAGATTGGAGTATGAAGCTTGATGACACACTTTGGGCATATCGAACCGCATTCAAGACACTAATTGGTACCTCACCTTACAGACTAGTGTACGGTAAGGCACGTCATCTTCCCGTGGAGTTGGAGTACAAAGCTTTTTGGGCAATTAAAGAGCTTAACATGGATTCTAAGGTTGCGGGAGAGAAAAGACTTCTCCAACTCAATGAGTTGGATGAGTTTAGATTGTCAGCGTATGATAGTGCAAGAATATACAAGGAAAATACCAAAAAGTGGCATGAAAAGAAGATCTTACCAAGAGAGTTTGCACCGGGTGACAAGTTTCTACTCTTTAATTCTAGATTGAAGCTTTTCCTAAGAAAACTAAAGTCTAGGTGGTCGGGTCCCTTCACTGTCACTAAGGTGAACAAGTTTGGTTTGGTTAAGCTAGTAAATGAAAAGGGTGAAGCGTTCAAGGTAAATGGTCAACGATTGAAGATGTATCATGATGGAGCTACTGTTGGAGTGGTTCAGGAAACCCACCTAACCCCACTCTCATCTTAGAGCTAAAGTCACCAGATAGAAGCGCTTTTTCCAGTTATCCCACTTAGACACCTTGTCTAAGGTCATTTGGTACTTAGCATATGTGGTAAGAGTATACCACGCTCTCCACCTGTAATACATCGTATTTTTATACTTATTTTAATTAAAATAAGTATTTTGAGAAGTATTTAATTAAATTGAATTGTTTTATTTAAAGTATTTTAATTATTTATTTTAAATAAGTTTGGAAGTATTTATAAAAGGAAAGTTTATTTATTTAATTAATTTAATTAAGTTGGGGTTTAATTTAAGGAAAGTTTTATTTTAGTAAAGTTTTATTAGGGATGGGATTCGGAAAATTAAAAGAGGAAAGTTAAGGGAAAAGAGTTTCTAGAGAAGGGGTATAAATTTCCCACATATGAGGCAAATCAAACTTTGCACAGAGTAAAGAAAAACCCAAGGTAAACTTCTTTCTCCTTGTTCTTTATTTTTCTTTCCTTTTCTTTCTCTTTTTCCCCTTCCCCTTTTTCTTCTGTTTGGCTCCCCTTCATCACCACCATCGACCACTAGCAGCAGGTGGCCGCCGGCCGCCACCAGCGTCAGCCATCGGTAACAGGCAGCCACCGGCGCTGGCAGCTGGCGTAGTGGCTGCCGCTGCCCTCTCCCCTTTCGAATCAAAAAAATGAAACATTGTTTTAAAAAATCAATTTAATCCTAGATCTAAATATTAATTATCAGTTTTGGGATTTGATTTTTGATGTTTGTTTATGAGTGGTGTGTTAATTAATTTTCAGATTATATTTTTAATTAAAAAGCCCCAATTTTTGAAACCCTAGGTTCTTGATTTGTAAATTATTGAATGGTTATGATATATAATGGTTTAGAGTTTTGATTAAAGTGTTTTAAGGCTTAATTACATCAAGTTTTAACTAAAATATAGTGCTGGAATTTTTAATAGAGCATTTAAAATCAAGTTTCTTTAAGGAATTTTAATATCCCATTAATTGGGATTAGAGTATGATGTTTTAAATATAATTTCAGCTTATTTTAATTAAATTATGAGAGGTTTTATAATAGTATATATTACTGGAAATTTGTGAAGAGTGGATTTTAATACTCTTCTATGATTTTAAATTGTAGGAGACTTTGAAGTGAGCGATTTTTATTAGTCGTGGCGATTTTAAGATCGTATACAAGGTACGTTCGCGAACTTAGCATAGTTATGTTGATGTAGTAGCATGATAAATGTGTTTGATTGATTACAAGTAGTATCATGCTAGGTTTGGAATGGAAATTATGATTTGGATGTTATTGGTGATTGGATTATGAAGCACGATTTATTTGTGGTGGATTATTGAATGGAAAATAATAGTTTGGAATATTATTTATGAACCACATATTTATTTATGGCATGTTAGAGAGCATGTTTAATTAAACTAAATGTTTAATTTGATTTGGAATATTGAAAGGAATTTTATTATGGTTCATATAATTTTTATTAATGCGACAAGCATGAGGAAAGAGCTATATAAGTTTCTATGTACACGAGGAAAATATTGTATGTTGGTGCCTTAGTGCACTTAAGGTATTTTTAACATCGAGGGATAGGATTTGTGGCGCTTTATGCGTTTAAGGTGTCATTGGCACCAAGGTAGAATTAAAAAGGATTCAACATTAAAGATTATGTGGTCACTAATTATTTAAGAATTAAATTGCTATATTTGATTGTTTGAATAATTATTGTTGATTGGATGATTATGGTTTGAGAATCATCACCAAGTTTGATAATATGTAAATAACCTAAAGTGAAAGAGATTACACACCAAAACTCTTGGAACTTATATACCTTGAGTATGAACATATGGGGGAAGTTATGGAGTTTTATATTTAACCATAACTTCTACTGGAGTACAGAACGTTGTACATTCCTTTTATTATTATTTTGCGCAGGAATTCCGCCACCTATGTGTGGTTATTGATGTTGGCACGGTTAGCTCCCGTGTCAGTAACCTCAATATATTTGGGGGAGGTTGAGTGGGAAACCCGTTCGATGCGTAGTCAACATTAATTAAATTATGTAGTGTCTAGTGAGAAATTTTATTGAATGTTGTATGCTTGAAAAACTTGTGTGACTAACAAATAGCGACGGATCTCTTCCGATGGACGGTTAATTTCGTCGCAATGTTCAAAATTTCCGACGGAATCTATTTCGTCGCAATTTTTCGACGGAATGTAAGTGTTATGATTGATTTTCCGTCGAAACCTTTACGACGGAAAATTAATCCGCCGGTAAGTTTCCTACTTCCCCCCTTTTTTCTAATTTTAAATTTTCAATTAATTATATTAAAAAATTGAATAAACCATTATTTATTTTATTTTCTTTAAAGTTTTTGTAGGATTAGTACAAATTAGTTGATTAATTGTCAAAAACAAGTGCAAATCAAGGTTAGTCACATTACTAAACTTAATATATAATGTATGAATGTTACTTTGGTTTGGATATGTTTAATATATTGTAGTTTAGTTTAGTTTTTTATAATAAAATGTGGTTTAGTTTAAATTTATTTCAATATAATGTACTTTAAATTAGTTTTATTTTTCTTTTATATGTTAGTTTAGTTTAATATAATGAAATGTTAGTTTGGTTTGTTTTAGTTTAGTATAATATGATGTATGTTAGATAACTTAATTTAATATAATGTAGTTTTCTTTTGTTTTGTTTAGTTTAATATAATGTAGTTTAGTTTAATATAATGTAGTTTAGTTTAGTATTTTTTTTATATAATGTTGTTTAATTTAGTTTAGTTTTACAAAAGTATATTATATTAGTTTAATATTATGAAACTTTAGTTAGGTTTGGTTCGTTTTGTTTAATATGATGTATGTTAGATAAATTTATTTAATATAATGTATTTTAGTTTTGTTTAGTTTAATATTATGTAGTTTAGTTAAGTTTTTTTAATATAACGTGGTTTAATTTAGTTTAGTTTTACTAAAGTATATTAAATTAGTTTAATATTATGAAACATTAGTTAGGTTTTGTTCGTTTTGTTTAATATGATGTATGTTAGATTACTTTAGTTCATTATAATCTAGTTTAGTTTTATTTAGTTTAATATAATGTTTCTTACTTAAGTTTAATTTTATATAATGCATGTTACTATATTTTGATATGTTAATTTAGTTTGGTTTTATTTGGTTTGATTTGTTTATATTAATGTTATGGTTTTATGATATGTTTGTTTATGATAAGTTTAATTATGATATATTTGTATTATATTTTGTATGTTATTTTAGTTTTAATATTTTTAAATAAATCATTTGCATAATCATATGCCTAGATACCCATTCAAGGCATACACATTAGGCGTATGTCTTGAATAGTCCCTTGTTGGGACTGTTCTTATACGTTTATTCTCAATTAGATGGTGAATGTATTCCTTTTTTTAATTCTAAGGAAGATCCTTGCTTTTCATTTCTCTACAATGTTCTCTAAGTACATATATAGGTGTTTCTAATCGCCTATATCGTGTACTTGGAGAACTGTAGAGAAATGCTGCCGGATTTTCCATAGAATTGAAATCCTGGCATACATTCACTAGTGAGATTGAACGTCCAAGGATGGGTTAGGTTGGAGTGATAAGGACCCTTGGAAATCATTTCTCTTCTCATTTGCATTTCCATAAAACTTTGATATATAATGAATTTATATTGTGCTTTGTGACTAATGTGATTAATGGCATATATGTTAGTTGTGTAGAACTTGTAATCATGAAACGAAAAGAACGTAGCTGGATGTACGAAAGCAAGGTTGGGAATTCTATTAATCCTGAGTTCTTGAAGGGGGTAGATGAATTCCTTAAATATGTCGAAGATCATCCCGAGAGTAGCTACCCGAATGAAGTTAGGTGTCCATGTTTTAAATGCAAAAACAAACGTCTTTGGGATGGGAATACGGTTAAACTTCATTTGTGTCGCAGTGGTTTTTTACCTAATTACTATGAGTGGATGTGTCATGGGGAAGGGTTTCCAGGAACTCGTGAAAGGCGGTCAAATGAATATCGTGAAATGGTTTTGGATGCATTTGGTCAGTCTCAAGATCAAGGGCATTCCGAAGAGGCGGTTGTTTCATTAGAGGAGGAGCCTAATCCACATGCTAAGCAATTTTTTGATTTGTTAAGGGCTTCTGAACAACCGTCATACGAAGGGAGTTTATTATCTGTGTTAGAGACGGCTTCTAGAATCACTAGCCTAAAGTGCGAGTATAATTTTCCGCATAGATGTGTTGATGGATTTGCTTCTTTGGTTAATGAAGCGATTCCTAATAACAACCACATGGACGAGACATTCTATGAGGTCAAGAAAATTGTTAAGGGGTTAGAGCTGCCCCATGAAAAGATTCATGCATGCCCGAAAGGATGTATGTTGTTTTGGAAAGATGATGCTCAATTATCTACATGTAGGGTGTGTGGCAGCGACCGATACAAGAAGACTTCTAAAGGTAGCTTAGTGCCTTTGAATGTTCTATTTTATTTCCCTATCACACCTAGGTTACAAAGGCTTTTTGCAACTAAAAACATTTCCGAGGAAATGACATGGCATGCTAAAAATCCTCGAGTTCAAGGCACAATGGCACACCCTAGCGATAGTGAAGCGTGAAAACACCTTGACAATTGCTTTCTTGAGTTTTCCTCTGAACCTCGTAATGTTCGACAAGCCCTATGTACGGATGGATTTGCTCCACATGGTCAGTTTGGGGGACAATATTCTTGTTGGCCTGTCATTTTGACCCCTTATAACTTGCCTCCGTCAATGTGTATGAAAAGACAGTTCATGTTTCTTTCGTTACTCGTTCCTGGTCCTAAACATCCTAAGGGCAACTTAGATGTTTACATGCAACCGCTCATACACGAGTTGAAACAGTTGTGGGAAGTTAGGGCAAATACTTACAATATTTCGAGAGAACAGAATTTCAATCTTCGAGCAGCCATCCTATGGACCGTTAGTGACTTCCCGGCTTA